GCGACTTATCGTTGACTGCGCTCTTCAAGCACAGACGAAACGCGTTCCGGGTGTTTTCGTTCGCAAACGACCTCTCACTCCATGGTGGGATAAGGAGTGCACCGACGCGAACAGCGAGAAGTCCGCCGCGTTTAAACGCTTCCGCAAACACGGTAAGGTCGAGGATTTCGAGCGGTACACCGACCTCGAGAAAACTTTTAAGGGCTTGATTAAAGCCAAAAAACGCGGTTACTGGCGTCGGTCCATCGATGGTTTGTCGAGAGAGACTTCTATGAGAACACTCTGGAATGTCGGCAGGAGAATGCGAAACGCGTCATCACCGGTCAACGAAGACAAGGAGTACTCAGACAGTTGGATATTCAGCTTCGCGCGGAAAGTATGCCCGGATTCGGTGTCGGTTCAAACCAACGTTCGTGATAGTCCGTCGGGTAGTAACGAAATAGATTCTCCGTTTTCGATGGTGGAATTCTCACTTGCTCTCCTCTCATGTAACAACTCAGCTCCAGGAATGGATAGAATCAAGTTCAACTTGTTCAAAAATCTCCCAGACGTCGCGAAGAAACGCTTGTTGAACTTATTCAATCAATTTCTGGAGCACAACATTGTTCCGGATGATTGGAGGCAAGTAAGAGTTATCGCCATTCGAAAACCCGGTAAACCCGCGTCGGATTATAACTCGTACCGTCCCATCGCGATGCTGTCCTGTATACGGAAATTGTTGGAGAAAATGATTCTTTTTCGTCTAGACAAATGGGTCGAGTCGAATGGTTTACTTTCAGATACGCAATTTGGATTTCGGAGAGGCAAAGGAACGAGCGACTGTCTTGCGTTGCTTTCAACTGAAATTCAACTGGCCTATGCGCAAAAACAGCAAATGGGTTCAGTTTTATTGGACATTAAGGGGGCTTTTGATTCTGTTTGTATCGATGTCCTTTCGGATAAACTCCACGATAGTGGGCTTTCACCAATTATGAACAACTATTTGAGCAACTTGTTGTCTGAGAAATATATGAGCTTTTCTCATGGAAACTCGACAACTTCACGAATTAGTTACATGGGTCTCCCCCAGGGCTCATGTTTAAGCCCCCTTCTTTATAATTTTTATGTAAAAGACATTGATGGTTGTCTTGATGAAAATTGCTCGCTAAGGCAGCTTGCAGATGACGGGGTTGTGCCCGTTATAGGGCCAAGTGCACCGGACCTGCAAGGACCATTGCAAGATACCTTAGACAATTTGTCTACTTGAGCTATGAAGCTGGGTATCGAATTCTCTCCGGAGAAAACTGAGTTGGTTGTTTTTTCTATGAAGCATCATCCTGCACAGTTACAGCTTCAACTAAAGGGTAGAACAATCACTCAAAGTATATCTCTCAAGTATTTAGGTGTCTGGTTCGATTTCAAATGCACATGGGGAAAACATATTGCGTATCTAAAACAAAAATGCCAACAAAGAATCAATTTTCTTCGTACAATTACCGGAACTTGGAGGGGAGCACACCCGGAAGATCTGATCAGGTTGTACCGAACAACCATCCTTTCGGTTTTAGAGTACGGCAGCTTTTGCTTCCAATCCGCAGCAAAAACACACATTCTTAAGCTGCAACGGATTCAATACCGTTGCCTTCGTATTGCGCTAGGCTGCATGCACTCGACTCATACGATGAGCCTCGAAGTACTCGCGGGTGTTCTCCCACTGACAGATCGTTTCGCTGAGCTGTCTTTCCGGTTCCTCATCCGTTGTGAAGTATTGAATCCTTTGGTAATAGAACACTTTGAGAAGCTGCTCGACCAAAATCCTCAAACAAGATTCATGAGTTTGTACTATGAGTACATGACGCTGGAGGTTGGTCCTTCTGCATTAATCTCCAATCGTGATTGCTTCCAAGCCTTCTATAGTTCCTCTGTAAATTTTGATCTGACCATGATGCAAGAAATCCATGGAATACCAGATCACCATCGGTCGATGGTTGTTCCCTCAATTTTTGCAATCAAGTACCACCATGTAAGTAACGATAAAAGATTTTTCACAGATGGGTCAACCATAAATGCTTCCACTGGATTTGGTGTATTTAATCAATTTCATAGCGCCTCCTATAAACTGCAGAAACCATGCTCCGTATACGTTGCGGAACTCGCAGCTATATTTTACGCAGTAGAGCGAATTGCCTCACTACCTTCTGACCATTATTTCATTTTTACGGATAGTCTTAGCTCATTGGAGGCTATTCGTTCAATGAGGCTGATGAAGCACTCCTCGTATTTCCTGCCTGAAATACGATCTAAACTGAGTGCTTTATCTAACTGCTCCTATACTATCACCTTAGCATGGGTCCCATCTCATTGCTCAATTCCGGGTAATGAGAAAGCGGACTCATTGGCTAAGGTGGGCGCTATGGAAGGCGATATTTTTGAGCGACAAATCGCCTTCAACGAATTTTTCTCCATTGCTCGCCAGCAAGTCCTCATCAGTTGGCAACAAAAATGGAATGATGGTGAATTGGGAAGATGGTTACATTTTATTCTTCCACAGGTGTCGAACAAACCATGGTTCAAAGGGTTGGACATGAGCCGCGACTTTATACGCGTTATATCAAGGCTTATGTCCAATCACTGCTCGTTAGACTCGCATTTCTATCGAATTGGGCTCTCAGGCAGCAATTTATGTGCGTGTGGCAGTGGTTATCACGATATCGAGCATGTTGTTTGGTCGTGTACCTTACACCGTGTTGCCAGATCTGAGTTATCCACATCCCTCAGGGCCCGAGGAAAACAACCCGCGATACCCGTTAGAGATGTCTTGGCGAGCCGAGACCTTGACTATTTGAATTTAATTTATGTGTTTTTAAAACGGATAGATTTGAGGATTTAGAAGTAAGTGTCATCTTGTGTTCTCCCAAGTTGTTAGCTACCCATCGGTGTACCCCCATGTTTGTCTTTTTCATCAGAGTGTCGCCTAGTTCGAGATCAAGAGCACGTTGCTCTCCAAACCTTGTGTTCACAATCCCTACCCTGCCATCTATTTGTTACAATGTGTTACCCCTAACCTCGAGATAGCCGCGAGTAATCGGCCCCCGCTTTACTAACGTTAGTTTTAAGTAATTCTGTTATCTAAACAATGAATATCGGCTCCGCAAAGCTACAGCAAATGAGCCTGGAAAAATAAACGAATTATAAAAAAAAAAAAAATTGGATCATGATTTCAACTTGGATTCTTCATGATTTTGGGAATGTTTGCTGCGTTATTCATGGTGTATTTTCATAACATGAAAATACGCTTTGTTCATGAAATCATGAGTCATTTTTCTCATTTCGGAGATCGGATTTTTTTCTCGTGTAAAAATAGTGGAGGAACATGCTCTTAAAAATACTTGTAAACACAATTTGATGAAAAATTCTCTATAGTATGTACTTTGCTAAACCTAAATCTACGTGTATTTGATAAGTCCGAACGGAATCCAATCTTAATTTGTAAGTAGCTAATTGAGCTAAAAATATTTATCAAATTAGAATTTTTTTCAGCTTTGATCAGTCCAAAAACGTTGGATGATTTATCATAGAGATGGTTTAGAAGAAATCCACCCCCTCCACTGTCATACCCTTGAAAAAGTGGCTCAATCCTAATATTTGGTAACCTAATTGCAGAGAACCAGTCAGTTCAACATGAATCGACACGCATTTTGCTCGGGATTTTCCAGGGTTTTCCTCTGGTTGGCTAACCACAGGTTCAATCTGGTTTCAAGCGAAAGTACTTAGATAGCCATGCCTTTTGAATGGTGGCTGAACCATAGCGATTGATCATCGCAGTGTCGTGAATCAGCCATGTCAACCATGAATCGCTGTTTGCAGCCTTAGTACTCTGAGGAAGTTTTGATAGCTTCGGATTCTGTCAGTAAATATCATCAATTAAAAAAATCTGAGCCCCCCTTATCTAAGGGGATACCCCTTATGTCCTCCACATGCCAAATTTGGATCCATTGGCTTGATTAGTTCTTAAGTTATGCAGAAATGGCTGTTTCATTTGTATGGGAGCCCCCCTCCATTACAAAGGGGGGAGGGGTCTCGAACCATCATGAGAACCTTTCCCTGCCCCAAAAAACCCTGCATTCAAATTTTCACGCCGATCGGTTCCGTAGTTTCTGAGTCTATAAGGGTCAGACAGACAAACAGACAGTCAGACAGACAGAAATTCATTTTCATATATATACACACTAAGAAATAACTAATTTTACACGTGACGGAATCCGTGTTTGACACAAAAGATGAGACGTAAACAAATATGTCATGTAAAATGAAGAGCCCCGAGACTGAAAAGCTCGAAAGTACGTTTTATTGAGCTGAATTTTGCGTCTATAATGAGTCAATTTTATGTCAAAATTGACGCTCGTATATGTCAGTCTCAAAGCACCTAAATTTACATAAATTTTCCTAAGTGTGTAGATAATGTAATATAATATAATGTAATATAAGAAAATAGAATATAACTTAATATAACATAATATATAATATTTTGGCACTCAGATAGCGTCAGACGACGGGACCAAAGTGACATAGGTGCACGAAACAAAAAGACTAGGTCTGCTTTTGCGAGTTAACGTAATAAATTATATAATAAATATTATGTTTAGGGCCAATCAGAACGAACCAAAATGTGATTTTGCGTGGATTTGGATTTTTGAATTCACTTGAACACGAATACAAAACGGGAAAGTTATGGAACACTGGCCATTCTACCCCATGAATGCATTATGAACTGTCTTCCCTATTGAAGCTATAACCTGTTGAATGTGTTGAGCATTTAACCTAGACAACAGGCAACTTTTTTTAACACCAATAAGTGAGGACGCATGCCCGTCCATGCATTGCGATACCATAGTAATAGTACCAATAACTACCTTCACCTAACAACTGCTTCCCCGACAACACGCCATTCATTATCGACCGAAACAACATCGCTTCCTTAAGGAAAAATACAAACGACCACATTGCATCGCGCATTCAAAATGAATGGACGCCACAATGGAACATCCATGCGACCTACATCCAGATTCACATCATCTAGCCGGAAGTCGGTTCTTCAGGTAAGTTCAATCTTTCCGAACGTAATCCAGTCACTGTATTAGGACCATCATTTCAGGGAACCAAGAACTTTGTCTGGGATCGTGAGGAGTTGTCCTCCAATCTGCCTTACTTCAATAACAACTATGAGATCCCATTCAATCGACCACCGAATGAGGTCAACTTTTTGGGCGGTCTGGGCAGCAACAAGGCTCACTATAGGTCCAAAGTGCACCCACAGCGCTTCTCGACGGTTCAAAAGTTGATGCGAATGAGAACATCCAATCGCATGCTGGAAACGTTAACGGAGGATCTTCGGAAGGTGAATCTGTGCCGGCATTCGGAGAAGCGGAGCCATAAGAATCGAAATGTTGGTGAGTTTATCAACAAGATAACCGATGAACTTCAGCTGGCAGGGAACGTCGTGAAATCAACGCCCTCCGAGCAGTCAGATGTGCAGTTCCAAGCAAGTGCTAGGAAGAACTTCTCGGATGATGATTATAAAGAAATGATTCAGAAGTTGGATAACATGCTGCTGGAAGATCAGGGTCCGAGCACTTTCCAGGGGACTACATTTCGGGACTGGGCATTGAAGGAACGGTATTATTTCAAGAACAAAAACAATTTTGACATGATGAAGCGGGAGAAGGAGAATCTGCAATCGGAGATGGGTTCGTCAGTTGATACGAAGTCGTGTGACTACATAGCGGCGGATGGAAGGCGCGTGACGAAGCTCAGTAGGGCTACGAAAATTCCTCACATCGAGGGGCACATGTATGGTCCATTTACGAAACTTCCCCGATTGGATCCACTGCTGGAAAATGAGACGAAATTTGGAATTCCGTTGAGTCTATTGGTTCGATCGTACCGCGAGATGGATTCAATGAAGGAAGGCGAACGGAATGTGATCAATACGAGACTGTCCCATATGAGGATTCCGCTGTGTCCAAGGAGCAGCGATGAGTCGTCCGATGACGATGAAAAGATGGAAGAGGTCAAAATTTTGTCATTTTTGAGAACGCCGTACTTTCGAATTCCGACGATTCGGACGCAGAAGAAACGACGCAAGGATCGACTTCGCAGCCGTTGGTTGAAGAAGGATCGCTTGAAGAGAATCACGATGCTGCTGTATGATCGTTCGGAAGAGAATATGAGATTCAGGAAGCGCAGTGGTCTGAACAGACATGGATCGGATTCCGATTCAGTTGACTCTTCCGGAGTTAGAAGGAAGACTGCTTCCAAGCATTCGAAACAGGATGACAGACAGGAGCTGTCCGATAAACGGAAACGATACTACGAATTTATTGAACAAAAGTCCCGCGAGTATCGCCGTCTGTACGACGAATGCCTGCAGCAAAGGATGACATCGTTCCAAGATTTTAAGAACATTGACTTGGACGACAAGCTGTCCGATACATCGAGATCGAAGTCACGATTGCAGAAGTTGAAATCACCTGATGAGGTTAAGGAACCGCAGGAGAGAGCAGTTCTACGGTTTCCTTCCAATCGCTTCAAAAGCCTATCCAGGAACGATGGGCTTATAGGTTCGTTCTACATCGATCCGGAGTTTCATGACAAGACGAAAGATTTAAAGAAGTGTAAGTAGAAGACTTATGTTATAAATTTTTTAAGCCCTTTCCCGATAAATAAATTTCTACCTTGCGCACAAGACAAGAAACGGTCCAAATACTACACCAGCCTGATGAGAGGCCAGGTTGACCTTCGTCAACGCTTGCAAGTCAACGCTCCGGACTTTGATGAGGAACAGCTCGGTTTCAAGACCAAGTTCTTCAACCGGTTGGCAACCGAGTGGGACAATTACTACATCCACGAGCTGCGCTATCGCCCCAAGGTGCGGAAGTTCTGTCCGAAAACTGACATTCTCAACATGCGCGATCAGCGTCGGAAGACGTTCCTGCAGTACTACATAGCGGAGAACTTGCTGAAGATTCGAGAGAGACAGATTTTGGAGAAGAAATTTGCCAAATGGATCAAGGATTTCTGCAAGCAGACGAAGCCACTGTTCAAGGTGTGGAAGAATAATGCCTACGATAAGGTGCTGCAAATGTCCGATAGAGCGAAGGAAGCACAGCAGGAGTCGAAACGGTTGAGGAATGTGCTTCAGGATAGACAGAACAAAATCGAAGCGATCACGGAGAAGATCCTACTTTTGGAGGAGCGCTGGACTAAGATCATGCAGATGCGGGTATTTGGAATGGTTTGTTTATTTTTGAAATCACTGATCACCGTTTGCCAATTTCAGAACTATTACTATCTCCTAATGGACTCTCAGTGGAGACTTCAAAATGATCATTTGCACAGATCTTCAAACGGGATTCTTCTTTCGGTAAGTTTGAAAATTCTGATCAGTTTCACCGTAAATTCCTCATATTCCATCAACAGGTTTCCGAGAGTGTGTGGAACTGCAAGTCCTTATTCATTCGAACTGAAGGCATCAATATCGGAACAGAGATTGCAGCGTTTTACGAAGAACGAATTTTCCCTGAGCTAGAAAAACATCCAAGCTGCGTTCCGGACCCGGCCCTTTTCCTCAAAGGCCTCGGACAGATCAATCATCGTACCATCGAATTGATCCAGAAGTACAACAACAAGCTGATGGTGTTCAGCCGAATCGATTATCACTACAAGGGTGTGTTGCAGGAGTTTCCAAGGTACTTTAGTAGCCATAACGATATGTTGGAACTGTACAACAACAAGGTGATGATGATACAGCGCAAGAACGAGGCCATGAAGCTTCAGGTCAAGCAGTTGCTCGGGGATCCGCTGAGGAAGTGTGTCAGCAAGTGAGTTGTTTTTCATATTGATCCTTTCGTTATAATTCAGCAAAAGTTGCTTTCAACAGCAAAACGATGCGGATTACCAGCACTATCCTGAATCAACTGTATGACTTTATTAGAAACTCGAAAAATCTTGACAAGGAAATCGTTGAGATCAGCAATATGGAAAAGTTGGCCAGCATACACCAATTCATTGTGGTGAGTTGGTCGGGCTTGATGAGCTTATGTTTTGAGGTTTGATTCCGTATGTTTGGCAGGATTTGCTGGCTGACCTGGACAAACTTCCGCTGGACATACTGAAGGCTTCGGAGTTGGAAGCACGCAAGAATAGAAAGCTGGCACTGAAGCAAGCCAACAGCGCTCTGAAACGGAAGGAAGTGTTTGATCTGCTTCGCAAGCAGTTGAGATGGCACGTCAAAAAGTGAAACAAAAATGGCCTTATAGACTTCTCTGACGTTTGTCGTATACCATAGAACCATTACTTTGAATATCAAAAATCTCAAATAAACAGCGATCATTAAAAATTGATTTAACTGGTAACCGTACAGTGGAGCCCAATGGCGTTTATTTGCGATATTAGGTAGTGCACTGCCACGCCGAGGCGGTTTGGGTTCAACCTTTCCCCCAGAGCCACTTAAAAAATTGTCTTATGTTCCAAGTTGTGAGTCAACTTCGGAACTTTTCATACATTCAACTATCTCTTACACGACTTCGCCGTAACTCGGTGGAAAACCAGGATTCTTCGACTAGTATCAATGGTATCTTCAATATCAAGTAGGGTAATTGATTCTGGTTGGACCTATCCAAAAACTGATGATGGTTGGACCTATTTTTTCAATCGCTAGTTTAGTCAATCTTCGTAAATTTTTTTTTCAAAGATCACTTTACTATCTAAAAAACTCTTTTTCTTCAATTTGCATGGGTGTTTTATTGAAAAAACTTCAAAACAATTGAGTTTCAATGTGTTTTCAAAACAGTTCACTTTTCACGCATTTGCTCGTCATGTTGCCTTACTCTCAAACATGAAAAAAAGGAATATTTTTTACACTTGTTTTTATTTTCATACAGTAAAATAGTGTTTTAAGGTGTAAACAACACGTTAGTACGCCATTTACCTTTTGGTTTCACTAAAATGTTTGAATAATTGACGAAATTCGAATAGATAAATATGGTCATGGTTGGACCTACGCATGATGATGGTTGGACCTATGTGTTTCCTAAGACGGCCGCTAGGTGCGCTTCGGTTTGTTTACATACATCCTTCATGCGCAGCTGATTTGAAATTCGATTTTGCGTTGGCCAAGTGATCAGTTTCTTCGATTGAAAAGAGTTATACGGTCGAAAATCTTCAAGAGGCTATTCTTTTAGTAAGAAATAAACCACTTACCGCGTATCAGGCACAGAAAAGGTACAATATTCCGAATACGACACTTCACGCAAAAATTAAGGGGCCACAGCAAGAAATATGGAAGGGAAATAGTGTTGAGTGTTGATTTGGAGAACCAGCTAGCGGATTGGGTTTGTATGTGCACTGCTTCTCGCTGTGCCAAGACGGCCAAAATGATCTTGGAAGCTGCTAAAGACCTTACGTCACTAGTTGGGCGTAAATTTAAAGGAGGAATTCCATCGTCAGGTTGGCTGAAAGGGTAACCACCGATTTCCGAACTACCACGAAAGCGCCGAAAGAATCTGGTAATATGAATTTACATTAAGCACTTCTCATACACCTTCTATGTGTGAATTAATTTGAAATAAATTGTTAACAAACTAAAAATTGCTAACTGAAACTTATTTCCGAAAAAATAAAACTCCTAGGAGAAAAAAGAACTATAAAACCGGAATTAAGTTATGATATTCTGTCATTTTAAGCCCCTAAATTCCCGGGGCACCCATAACATGCCCGGACGTCGTGTGAAACCGGCCTAAATAGGTCCAACCATCATCAGTTACCCTATGAGAGAGTTGATTGTGCAACATTTTTTTAACGATTAATATTTTGACTATTTTTTTATAGCGGTGGTTGTCTTGGCTTGCTGTTGTAGGGGTTCGCTTTGATTTTGCAATTGTCAAGTGTCAAAAGTGCAATCCTTCGGTGCAAACGATGTACATATTTACGTTTTTTGACAAATCTCAGGTAATCATGCTGCAGTAGCACCAACCGGTTGAACTTAACGATTTTAAAATGGCCCACACGAAGTCTTTTTTTTACGCAATATTCAATTTACGTCTCTCTGTTTACGAAGCCACTGTTTTTCGAGTCACCTTTCCACTGTTTTTTTTTCCTTGATTTGTTTTCCGTCGATCTTGTTTTCCTTGCTGAGCACCAATGCTACCGACGCCAGGGAGGCAGCTCCCACACCTGGACCCCTACCACCTATCGATCCATCAATTCAACAAACGGGGACCAACGGCTTTACCGAGGGGGACGACTCTATCTACGATGCAGAAAAGATTGTGTTTTGCTGTGGCTAGCTGCACGCACGCTGAGTAGATAGAAGGAAGATTTATGTCAATTTTGAAGATTTCCTGCAAAAAGATGAAGCACGATGCAAGTAGATGCGAGAAATGAAAAATGATTTTTCGAAGATTGATTCGCTAGTGTGAGATTTTTTGAGCATCTAAAATTGAGATTTAGATGTGTCGCCCCCCTCGGACTTTACTTCCATTCCGAAGGAAGGCGTGGTCAGAGATGTTATGCCTCAGAACATCCCGGTGGCCCCGACTGGGATTGAAACCAGGTCTGCTGGGGTGAGAGGTAATCACACTTACCACTACACCACTGGCACCGCTCCCTTTCCACTCTTCTTCAACTTCTGTTTGACAATTGCCCAATATTTCTCAATTGGGTGGATTGATGTCCTTTTCGAAGAAATCTACCCCGTTGTCTCGATCTCACTGTAGAACTTCTCCGCTGTGTGCCAAAACTTTACAAAACTGCCCATAATCCATCTTCACGTACGTTTCGTCGTCCATGAGGATGCATCCTTCGTACTTTGTAAGAACGTCATTGTACATCTTCAGGGCACATCATAATCCGACAGCCCTGGGTTTGCCCTAACCGTTCTCAATACCTTCATATGCAGCTTCCGATCCTTAGTTTCTCTACGACACTTGCTATGATCCTGCCGATCGATAGTTTGCCGCTCTCGGAAAAGTTTGAGAACTAGTAATGGGCGATCTTGGATCGAAACACAAAAGATCGATTCTTTTGGCTCGAGTAATCGATTTTTTGAATCGATCTCAAACAAGACTAAAATCGATTGGATCGATCCTTTTCATTCGATTTTTGATTCGATCAAAAAATAAAAGTTGGAGGGTGGTGTACAAGACACAACCGCATTGTTGACGTAGGACTACGAAATTTTTTACGGTTCGGAAGTTTTCGAAGATGTCGTGCAGCAGGAGAATGCATACGATGAGGGTTTCTCAGGAAAAAAATTAACCCACCGATAAGACTACAAATAGAACATAATTTATTTCCCTAACAAATTATTTGATTTTTGATTCATTTTGATGTATTTAGTGACAAATTGAATGGGTGAATCATGGATTACTCTATATAAATTCTATTCTAACTCTTTACTGAAATGAACTTGGTGGCCCTGAAAAGGGCCGTTTTGTTACAACTTTGCTTCCCTTGCATACTTGATGCTTGTTTGTCGTTGAACGGGTGAATTGAAACTAAGCCTAAAGCGTAGATAGCAACCTGTTATATAGACAACCAGCTCTGCCGGTACCATATTTTCTCGCTTCCTATTGGCTATATTATATAGAAATTAATTTATATAGAGTATCCCCTGCTTCCAAGTTTGGTAACTAGATTACAACCACAGAACAGAAAGAGAAGTGCAAACAAATCGGTGAATCAAAAAGTGTTCGTTTTTCTGCTCAACAAGCGATGTGTTGTGGTAGCGTTCCACACGGGCTTTCTATGTGCACTCACACTATCATAGCATGCTGCCTATCTTAACTGCAGGCAGAAGATGCCTTCTACCGCTAGGTGCGCTAGTGTTCGCAAATGACAAGTGGAGCCACTTTCTGATCCAAAGTTCCACTCCTGTGTTACAACTCTAGATAGCAGCGGCGCCCGTGGTGTAGTGGTAACCATCCCAGCAGGCCCGGGTTCAATCCTAGTCAACGCTGCCGGGAAGTTCTGAGGCATAACATCTCTGATCACGCCTTCCTTCGGGGTTCCCGGTTCATGAGTTGATGGGTTGATAGGTAGGGTCTAGGTGTGGGCATGCTCAGTTGTACACACCAACTGCTCATTTGGTAATAACTTTTCACTCAGATGTTGAAATTTATTTTTCTTTAAAGTAATTGATAGATTATTCTCATAGTTTACTATAGATATGCAAAGATTAGGTAAAGCTTAACATTTGAATCAACACTAATCAATTTAACACATAAATGCCGAGATGTGTAGTGAGCATTTCTCACCTCAGTTTTACAACGCAAAAACAAATACAGTTTACTACTAGCATTAAAATCTACTTTATTTTACATACCTATAACAAGCTGAACATTAAGAACAGAAGCTGATTATTGGTTGATTTAAGGTGTACAAAGCTGATTAACATCAGGCTGAACATATAGTTGATTAGTAGTATATGAAGCGAATTGTATCGCCATAATCCAACCTCAATAGGTTAGGTGATTCAAAGATTAAACAAGCCTTATTTAAGCTTAACACAACTCCACAAATCAGCAATGCGTTACACCTATTTTGATAGCTTGATTTGTTAAATGTCGTCAGTGTCTGTGTCACTCGTTGAATGTCCGGCATTTTAGTTCTACTAAATTCACTACCTACCTTTCTAATTACAGGCAGTGGCAGCAGTAGAGTCAAGGAAAAGGAGATTTTTAGGAATAGCTCCAGGTAGAAGTGGTCTGCGAGGACGTCGGAAGTATTAACATTTGTACTTCTGTGTTTTGACAGTTCGCCACTTTATATTGTACTGAATTTTCAGACCGCATTCCAAAAATATTACTCAATTATGGCACTAAAATAGCATCCAAATGACCATCAAAATAAATCGCGTGCTTGTGTCCACATTGTGTTAAGTGCACTTGAAAATGAGTGGAATGTTTAACTGTTACTAGTTGTTGCTTACAATTCTGCATTGCTGTATAATACTCTCCGGGTGCTGTTATTCAACTTAAATTTGACGTGCTTCAAGTTAAGGAAAAATTCTTTTTCTTTTCCCTTTTAAATATGTATCGGTACTTATATCATTAGAAAGGAATACCTGTAGTACATATAATCTTTCAATAATTGTCGTTTTTGTACCCACTGGACAGGCTTTACCTAACGTGAAATTGAAAGTCATTCAGTTGAAGTATTCCAGCGATTAAAATTGTATTTTTATATATGTATTGTCCGTGTTTACGCGTGCTGGTTGTTACCGAGTTGATTCCAAAGTCCATCGATCGCTTTGGGTGTTCAGTCAGTGTTATAACGTAGTGCGGTTGTTGATTTTTATAAGCCATAACGTTATTGGTTGAACGTCTATTTGGTACCTATTGGAAGTTTTCTTTGCATTTTCATCGTGAAATCCAGGAGAAATGAACCGTGATTCTATCTACCATCTACCTGAGGGCAGCAAAGAAACAACCTTCTGCTACGATGAATCGCTACCAGCTCTTCCATTGCCGAAGCTGGAAGATACCCTCAAAAGGTACTTTGAATCATTGAAACCATTTGGCACTGATGAGGAATTGAAGACTTCAATACAAATCATCGAGAAGTTTCGGATGGGCGTCGGTGCTAAATTACATCGTATGCTAGATGAGAAGGCGCAACATGAAAAGAACTGGGTAAGTGATCATGACCTTTTGTTTCTGGTAAATTTACTCGAAGGCATAGTTAGTTATCTTTTATAAGGATACTTTCAGCCGAACGCTGGTTCGTCTCCGAACCTCGAAGGCATAACCAAAGGCGATATATTTCAACCTGATAACAGTCTCAGGGGCGACTTTATCTTATCGTTTTCTTTTAATTACATCGTGTTTATGGGTAACTGAGTTCGGGAAACAAATATTTGAAGCCAAGTTGACTGATTCTGCGACTTGTTTGTAGATCGTCTTTGTTTTTATTAAAGACGATCATTGGCTTTGAAAGATGTCTGTATTTCAGATCTCAACGAATCATTTGCTCGTGGTAAATGTCCTGTAGCCTTGGTTTTATCCGCAATGTCTTTAAGATCTTGTCTGATTTCCAATGGAAAATGTTGAATGAATTCTTCAATCATGGCATCTGATGGCAGAACGTATGCATTTCGGAGTTGTTCCATTTGTTCATGCACTTTTTGACGAAGCTTAGGTGATAGATGCTCTAAACCACCCCGCAGAAATAGTTCTTCGAGAATTTCCCTTAGAAGTTTATCTGGTAAAATCTGTTGCAAACGTTTAGGGCTGATGAGAGTTGGATGAAGTGGCTTGGTGACGGCTGGTTTCTCAATCATTCTTTCTGATAGTCCAATTGCCAGAGCTTCTTTCAATGATTTCTGCACATCTACCTGTTTGTCCAAGGGAAATTGGTCGAGAAAATTGTTGATTGCTTCGGAGTTTGGAAGCTGGCTTAACATTGATTTCAAATGGTTTTGTATTTTGTTATTGAGATCTGCTGATATTAATAAATCGTTGCCATTTTGATGTAGCTCTTCGGCAAAATGTATATGAATTGCCACTGGGATGAATTGGTGAATCAGATCTATTAAAATAGGTGATTCGGATTTGCTTGCCTCAAAGACCGAAAATAAAATGAAAACAGTGAATGTAATGAACATTCTGTAATGTTTCTGTTGAGACTGACATTCCGGTTTGACCGAAATTGCTGAGAAAGGTTGTCGCGTTCTATCTACTTCATATCGTAATGGAGTCTTGTTCAATGATAGTTATCAGTTTGTTGATTGCCAAGATGTAAGGTAATGTGCTTATTAATTGACACCGTTTCCAATAGTAAAATATTGTAGCATTGAAATAAGTTTATTGATAAAGAGTAACAACTTGTTACTATTTTAGCTGCAGCTTACAACATTTTTGGACCTGCATACTCTTTTGTGAAGTAGTATCAACCCAGTGGCAGGTGCGTAGACAACATGTTATACCGTGACAGCGGGCCCAGCACAGGCCCGGGATGCCCGAGATATGCTGCCTACTGTCAAACACTGTTGTTGGTGGCCTTGTCACTGCCCTGAGTGATATTTAACGTTTAACTTTTACCGCTGCACTAGTTAACTAAAAAGAGCCCGGTTTGGGCAACGGCCGTTATTTTTACAAATTTCCCTCATCCCGTCTTCCTAGTTTAGCCATATTGTATTTTGGTCTCTGCTTTTATCGTAACGGCACAACATTTTCACAGCGGTACAGAACCTACTGTTCTTGCACAAGAAACGTGAAGGTCCTGAATATCAGAGAAATAAGAGTCCAGCCAAGAGAAAATGTTGCGAACAAGCACACGGATAGAAATTTCCTTATACCTTTTGGCAAATTTCTATGGCTTATTATTCATAAAATGTATAAGTTAACTAATAAACAGACGCCTTGCAAAAAGTTAATGAAGATCATGTGTCAAATGAAATGTATAAGTGGTCACACATACCTTTTATGCATTCTTATAGGACCTATGTGGTTTGTCTTATGGAATGTATAAGACTGATGTTTTGGCAAAAATGTATATGTGAAACACATGAATAAAATAATTGATTTTCGTTTCGTGCAGCACTGTCTGTGATTTATTTTTCGTCAGAGTAAACGGAAGTGAAAAATTACATGTCGATAACGGAGCTTCTGGGAGACAAAAACAATTATAGAACCTGAAAAATGTTCAAACAAGTGCTTGGTATAACTTATAAATACCACAATGTACTAAGAAACCATAGAAATGTTATTCATCTAAAATTTCTAAAATATTGTCAGTAATGAATGCAATACTTGTAGTTCACTGGCTGTGGGAACAATAATGTTTATTTGGTTTATTTACTTTGCTTGTTTGGTACCCTGATTGACAGTTCTATTGGTACTTCTGGCTTCACTCTTGGCGGGACTCTTATTAAAACCACAGACAAACAGACATAACTCTTAGAAAAAAATATCGTCAAGCGTATTTTGCATGCGCACTAGCACCATCTATCATCCACATTCCCAAGCATTGTTTTGCAACCGGAGCATCCCTCGTGCATGACATTTTTTTAGTTGCTTTTCCCTCGTTCTGTCAACGCGTCAGTTGTGTTGAATAAAAACAAAACAGATGGATGTCAGTGATGTCGGTTCTACGAAATTTTCCGAAGATCTATAGAATTGACTGAATTCTGCAGAAATACGGATCCGTAGGAAAAATTAACAGAAGATAAGATTTTTTTTAGGGATTTGTTTTGTTTGCTTAGCGTGATTTTTTCTTTTGCAGGAAACAAGTTTTTAAACGAGGTAATGCATCACTTATTAGTGGGGGGAGGTAGCTCATCGATTCTTCCGGTTCGCCTCCTAGCATCGTGCTATAAGGTACCAGGCGATAACCAGGGTAGTTGATCGATAGCTCAATGACGTCATTTCGTTGGCGTCTGCAATGGGAAATTCTCATAGCAGGCGTTGACGATGGGACGTTGTCGAGTTGTTGAATAGCAACTATCGTGGTAACTCACCGATTACCTGTCGATCTGCCAAATTTGGAAAGACGTCTGCATTGAATTGTCTCATATAATAATATTCCGCCCACTATATCACAAGAAATTGCGAGTAGCTGAGTGGAATGGAGATAAGTTAAGCATTGGGTACAGGACCAAGTCTCCCCTGGGTGGTGCAAGAAGATGAGCGCAATAGAATCATCAAGTTGCCATAAGGCACGGAATGAGACTATTGCATGGCTGGGTAGTCAAAGTCTTCCATACGTTAGTCATTTCAGGTGGAGTAGAACAGGTTTAGGTTTAGGGTGGGCGTTTACCAGATTTGGATTTTTCAGATGTAATCCTAAATAGAACCTCAACTTCTAAAATAGTAGTAGTTACAGTGCCGCATTATCTAACTACCACTGCCTGCAACTAATGTTGGAGGGGTCAGCAGGGCTGATTACGGATCAAAACTAACATAACTCTAACACTGAAATGATCCCGAAACTAACGCTCATTCATTGCACTTTGAGTCATAAAGTAGTTTTATTTATTTTCCTACTAATCTATCTACACACTTAGTTTTTTCTACCGAGCTCGGCTGTGTGGGTCTCGGCGGGGAGGGGGTTTCGCTGAGATATCGGCGGGAGTGACATTTGATTGCCGAGTCTCGGATAATGCCTTTTCTAATAATCTGCCTACGTTTCTTTTATTTGTTATCTACTTCATCCCTTTTTTATTTGTCTGCTCTTCTTTCCTCTTCTCTTCTTTTGTTTTGTTTGTTTACATATTACTAATACTAATACCTCCTTGTTTTCTCTCTAATTTGTCTACTATGTCCCACCATCACGATGAGAGATGAGCTACCGTACATGGTACACGCTCATATACACTCCCAAAATAGTATGCCGCAAGTAAGTATATCACAGAGGCAACTAAAGATCCAGAAACGAAAACCGATAACGCTGAAGATAATGAGCTGTGGTGATTTATATGACTAAATAGTATTATTTATTTATACTAACCTAAACACAACGTGGGGTGACCCAAATCCAAACGATCACTAACCAAAATAATAGACTTATCTTTTTTCAGCAGCACTACACCAGCCAGCAAAGTTCAACAATCCATCGTTGCTTATGCCTTTGTTGTCGTTTAGAACCAGTTTTGCGAGGTAGGCGACGATTGTGCGTATTTCTCGCGTAACTTTTGAAAAGAGCCTATTTATAGCCTGAACAATACGTAAAGAGCAAATTGAAACATTGAACGTCGCGTGAAAGTGGAACTTAATGAAGGCCTAAGTACTTTTTCGTAGTTTTTAGTTTTCGGATTTGAAAGATCGTCGGTTACAGTGTCCTGCTTACTGAGCAGAAAAACGGTCCCAGGTCCTTACATATCAAAGAGATTTATGGTAAAATCGCTTGTGTATCGTGTATTTTGCGAAACTCGTTGTTGTCGTTGGTTCCGGGTTTGAATGGATACAAAAATTTGAGCAACGGTATTATGTGATATGAGAGAGATTATGGCCTTAGAGCAACCGTTTTTGCTTACTGAGCAGAACATCATGAGTCTAATCTCAGGCCCATCCACATTAAAGATTCGTCAATCGTTTTATTTGTTAATATGACTACATGGTAATAACAGCAACTCGGTGATTAAAAAGGTGCTCGTCTGCCTAGTGGCAAACGTTTTTGCTTACTGAGCAGAAGACCGTGGGTTTAGTCCCAAGCTCCTTCGCGTTATATGATCGTTAGGACATCAATTCAGCTTATCGTTTACCAAAACGAACCCTGCTGCAAACCCAACCCTCTTATCCAACATCCCAGTGATTCCTCGTGGAAGTGCAGAGGTGTTCTCGGCTTCCATCAAAGCGAGTGTCATGTCAACACAATCCTTCCCATTCCTTTCTTGACCTGTGTTCGGGCGCGGCCGGCGCTGGTATTGCCTAATTTAAGATCACCAGTTTTTACACATTGAGGATGATTGCTAGTCCCAAGCATCGTCTATTGGCTCTCTGTGTAATTACAGCTGATCTGGCAATAACAGAGTAGCAACCGTGGGCGGTCAATCAAGCTCAAGCAAGCTCAAGCTTAAATTTGACGTGCTTCAAGTTAATGATCATACCTTTTACCACACATATGCCTAAATGGTCCAGTAGGTATGGTTGACGCCTATGAATCAGCGACTGCCAGTTCGAATCCCGAAATGCAAAGATAATTTTTAGACCTATATTAACAATATAAGTATACACATCCAATTAGTCAGCAACAAGTTGAAGCAGTTCCATATAAATGCATGAGATATTAAGCGGTCTTCCATTATAATTTTTGAAATAAAACTAGAAGGCTGAACAAGGGTTGAAAAAGACTGTTATTTAATACCTTAAAAAGCTTATAATGTATAATACTGTTAAGCTTTTGGCTGATTAAAATCACCAGATTTAGATGTTTAAAAGCTGGACAAAGGTTAACGTGATCTATGTACAGCAATTATTCAATCTAAGGCTAAATTGAAATCGATTAATCAACACTTGTTAAGCATCAATTTGTTACCTGGGTTACACTCTATTCTATCTACTGCTTCAAAAAGAACTATGTTCCGTCAACTGTGTGCAAAGTTATTAGCAAATGAGCAGTTCGTGACCAAAACTGTGTATGCCAAGCACGGGTAGCATTGGTGCTCAGCACGGAAAACAAATCCATGGAAAAAAACAGCATTTTGTGTGGTCGTTGGGGGCGTGTGGTTCTGAATTGGCAACAAAATGTTCCGCAATTGTTTCCTCACTATTCGTACACGCCCGAAGATCGGAGGCGAATGTCACTTCGACTTGTTTCATTTAGGAACCATTCTCTGATGACTGTATTGGGGAAGCAGCACATGTGTTCGGATCGAATAAAACAAACCGTTCTTGAATCAACCTTTTCTTGCAGCTAGATCAAAAATTTTAGTTTGTTTTCCTCCTCTAAACTTTCCTTGTCTTTCCAATCTCGCTTCCAATACTATGCCTGCCTGCCAATCTATGTTGTCGATCCGTCTATCATCGACTAGCCTCCTCTTTGTGTCGTAAAAAACTGGTGTATTAAACTGCGGTCGTTTAATTATTTTACCTTCTCAGAAAAACACACCGAAATTTTACTCTTTTTCTAACAAAACACGCTCTAAATCTCAATCTACAATGAACT